TTGGGGGGTCTCTGCCCAGCGACAGTGAGCTAGGGCAGGGAAGGGCCTGGGGACCTCTCCTTTAGCCTTTGGTGGCGGGGGTGTCATCCCTGATCTCCCTCTACCTGATGAGGTGTCACCAGTGAGAAAAAACACACAGCTCTCAACTGTCCCAGACTCTCTGATTAAAATGTCCCTTCATGGTCTTCCACAAAAGTATCCCTCATTCAACCTCCAGACAAGCCAGGATTCAGCTTTGAGCCGTAAGCAAGAAAATTTATTCCAGGGAACTGGAAGAGACAGTGGTAGAAAGACAGAAGAAACAGTGTAAGCCAGAGAAAAATAAGCACTCCTGCGTTTCCATAAACACAAGAGAGCAAGAGAACCCAGAAGTCTCTGTGTTGGCGACATGTCAAACAAAGCTGGCTAAGCCCTTGGAAGCAACCCAGCGAGAGGCCCAGGGCCACGTGGATGCGAATTTCTCAGAGTGCATTTCTCCACAGCCAGCCTGCTCTCTGCTCCCACCACAGCACTCAGGTGGGAAATTTAAAGTACTGATTTACAAGAAACCTAACTGACTTTTGATTTATTACATTGTGGGCGCCTGGGTGTCTCAGTTGGTTAAGCGACTGCCTTCAGCTCAGGTCATGATCCTGGAGTCCCTGGATCGAGTCCCGTATCGGGCTCCCTGCTCGGCAGGGAGTCTGCTTCTCCCTCTGACCCTCCCCCCCCATGTGCATTCTCTCTCTCTCAAATAAATAAAATCTTTAAAAAAAAAAAAAGAGTCAACGATTTATTACATTGTTGATTCACAGTGAAGAACTGACTTTTCTTTTAGGCTGTCCAGGGTTGACCACTTGCCTTGGGAAGTCTGTCTCTTTAAGACAACCAGCTCTCTCTAGTCACAGCCTCGTGCTTCTGAGGCCACCTCTGCAGGGTGAGGACCTGCAAGATGGGGACCCAGGGGTACTGGGGTAATGGTGGAGCAAGGTGGGGATGGACAGTGCCCTGAATGCACACACCAGACAAAACCAGACGGTTCTCCCTACACTTCACCACCCTCACCCCTGCCTCCCCGACCACCCTCTGGAGTGTCCAAGCCATCTTAGCAATTTCTCCCTCCTCTTTCCTTTTCCTTCCCCTCCTCCTTTGAAATATTGTCGCTAAGGAAACAAAGGAAACACGCACTATTTTAAAATAATCTGCTTGTTTGGGGGGAATCTAAATGAAAAATACCCGTCCAGCATCTGAGGCTGGAGCAGCCTCCAGTCTTTAAGGTGAATCGCAGACCCAAAGAGGAGTTTGGGGACCAGGAGAACCAGGACTCTGACCCTGGGGCGGGCCCTGCAGGGGTGAAGGGTGGCGTCGTTCCCACGCGTGACCACACGAGGGCGCTTCGGAGGCGGAGCTGCCGACTGCGCAAGGATGGGCATTGGCCAAATGGGATGTCGGTGTCGCCTCCAGAGGCGCCGTCTCCTCAGCAGGGTCTGGGCCAGCGTCTGGTGCCAAGTGAGGTGGGTACTTGCTCAGGGGCCCCGGCAGACTGGCAGGTCACCTGGGCTCGAAAAGCAGGGGTCCCCTATGTGCTCCAAACTGAAGGCCCTTTCTCAGGTGCTTCTGGGACGTTGTGGTCCCCAGGGACGGGGAGGGGAAGGGCACCCCAAAAATACCCGATATTGGCCATATCATCCTCTTGGTGAGGGAGGGCTCAGAGCTCATTTCTGCACTATGACATTTCTTGCATCCAAGCGTTGTGAAGCAAATTCATAACTCGCTTCATGTATAATGTATGTAAACTGAATCATACACATGCGCCTTCTCCCCCGCACGTTCAATCTCTGGAGCATGGGGAAATGGACTTGGGGCAGCACCTGGGGCTTTGAGATGTGTAGAAATTTGCCCAGGAATGAGTCGCTTGGCTTTGCCAAAAGAACGCGCTGGTCCCGTGGGGCGATTCTGGAATCCCAAGGTGAGGACATTCCTGGCATGACTGAGTAAAACAGAAAAATAGAAGCTCAGAGGCCTACTGGTACACCCTCCCCAGTCCCCAGCATCAGCAGACAGCTGCGGACCGTTCTGGCATTTCCCAATGCTTATTAAGAAGGAAAACATTTAATAAAACAGAGAGCACACGTTTGTCCCTCAGCAGGCCTGAAGCCCTGGGCCTGCCAAGGGTACGGATACCTGTTTATTTCAGCGTCCCGAGTGGCGCCCTTCTTGTCTGCTTTCCCTGGAAATGGGCTTGCAGCCTGGAAAACAGTGAACATGATGCAGAAAGAAATACGTTTATCGCTAAGTGAAAGAAGGGAAAAGGCCACATCATCTCCTGATATTGCAGTAAGGAAGGCCTCGTCCCCCCCCGCGTGGGTGGGAGTGTGTGCTCCCTCGAGGGCCGGGTTTCTGAGGCTTCCAGCCAGGCTGGGATCCGAGCCTGGACCGTGGTGCCAGGATGGTCAGGTAACCACGCCAGCAGCAGATGGAGCTTACAAAGAACAGCACATAAACGTTCAAGCGGGGCGGGAGCTTAAATCCCCTCGTTTTACAGAGCAAGATGGTGGGCCAGGAAGGAGGAGTGAGTCACCCACGGGACCTGCGGTGACAAATGTCACCGTCTGTCCAGACCAGTGCCCTTACCCGCCGGGGAAGGGAGGGGCACATGTGAAACCTTGGCCAATTTCAAGAACATCTGGAAACACAACCAAAAACAACTGTTGTCCAAGAAAAAGAAAATAGAGGTCACCTGGGCTTCCCCTGTCAGGAAGCTCCAAAAAGCTGTAGAATATGTCTAGTCACTCTGCCTCTGTGTTTGCCTTTCCCTCTCTCGCTGTCTAATTCTGTGTCCAACGCCAGAGAAGACACTTTGCAGACACATCTAGGAGGGTTACAGCACTGCCCGTGTTGTATGCCACAAAGGATGACTTAATAATTCTCAAGATTCAGTATCAAACAGACCATATTCTCAGACCATCGTGCCAAAAAATCAGAAACGAATAACAGAGTGATAGTGTCAAAAACATATTACTGGGAACTAAGAGAATATTGAATTTTTGAAAAGGGAAAAAAGAAAACTTTTGCCAAATTACTAATTACTGAAAATTCCAATACAGTGTATCAAAATGTGTGGGACTTACCACAGTGGACAGAGGGAAACGTAACTTCAAAGACAAGCTACCCAACTCCCTGAAAAAGCTGGAACAGGTGCAATAAAGCAAACTCAAGAAACAAGAAGGAAGAAGCACATCAAGGCAAACATTAATGAAGGGGGGAAGAAAAAAGAAAATAAATTAACAGAACTCATAAGCTAATTCTTTAAAGAGATTAGTGAAATAAAATTCTGGCAAGACTGATCAAGAACAGGAGTGAGAAAGAGAGATTGCACATTGAAATATACAAATATACAATGAAGGGGAGGGACAAGCACAAACACAACAAAAATAAACAATGCAATGACCCCTTTGAAGTCGTCTTGCCAAAAGATCAAATGTACAGGGCACCTGGGCGGCTCCGTCCGTTAAGCACCTGACTCTTGATTTTGGCTCAAGTCATGATCTCAGGATCTTGAGATCGAGCCCCGCTCTACTCATCATGGAGTCTGCTCGAGATTCCCTTTCTCTCTCTCCCTCTGCCCTTTCCCCGACTCGCGCTCTCTCGCTAAATGAATAAATAAATAAATATAATCTTTAAAAAAAACATCAGATATACATCTGATCAAGAGTTGAGATTACACAGGGGCGCCTGGGTGGCTGTCAGTTAAGCGTCTGCCTTTGGCTCAGGTCATGATCCCGGGGTCCTGGGATCGAGTCCCGCATTGGGCACTTTGCTTGGCAAAGAGCCTGCTTCTCCCTCTGCCTGCCCCTCTCCCTGCTTGATATCTCTCTCTCTCTCTCTCTCAAATAAATAAATAAAATCTTTAAAAAAAAAAGTTGCGATTACACCACCAATTTATAAGAAATACAGAGGACAGGAGAACATGACAGACTAGAGAGGTTCGATTATGGGAAACTAGACAAATGACATGACTCCTTCAGATGAGAGGAAAACAGAGTGGAGGGAACAGAAGGTCATGGAGAGATTAGAAGACAGGTCAACCGAGCACAAGGCATAGACTTTGCTTTGATTCTGATTTAAATTTTTTAAATGGTATTTATTTATGAGACAACTGGACGTTTAAAACACTGGCGGTTTCTCAGTGTTGAGGAATTACTAGTTTCTGGGAGGAGGTGACGGCATTGTGGATAGGTTGGAAAAAAGAGTCTTTGTCTTTTGAAGCTTTACACGGGAGCATCTGCAGCTGTGATGATACAGTGTCAGAGGTTTGCTTCCCGTTGACATGAGGCGCTGAGCAGGGGTAACAGGTGAAACAAGGTTGGCCAGGATCTGAGAGCCACTGAAGCACAGGGGAGCTGGTAATCCTGTCTACTTTAGGACATGCTTGAAATTTTCTAAAATAAAAGTTTTAAAGTGTTACGGACAGCGGCACCTGGGTGGCTCAGTCGGTGAAGCGTCCGCCTTACAGCTCAGGTCATGATCCCAGGGTCCTGGGATTGAAGCCTGCATCGGGCTCCCTGCCCAGCCAGGAGTCTGCTTCTCCCTCTCCCACCCCATCCACTTGTGCTCACTCTCTCTCCCTCTCTCTCTCTCAAATAAATAAATAAAATCTTAAAAAAAAAAAAACAAAAACAAAGTACTATGGACAAGTGTACCCTAAGCGCTGTAACAATCTTGATGTTATTGATGAATTTCTTGGGAAATATGAAGATATAGACTACTTGACTAGACCAATAAGCATCAAAGGAATTGAAGTGGTTATCCCCAAAGCCCCAGCCAGCCCCAGTAGGCTTCCCAGATGTGTTCTACCCAACTTTCCAGAGACAGATAATCTTTATCTCATCACAGATTGTTTCAATAAATGAAATAAAGAGAGAAAACTGCCCAGCCTTCTTTGTGAAATTAATGTAATCTTGATTCAAAACCAGATCAGAACAATACAAAGGGGAAAAAATGACGGGCCAATTTCACTTATGAAAGAGAATGCAGAAAATAAGATAATTAGAAAGAAGAAGCCCATGCGGGAACTTCGCATCTGCAAGCTCTGCCTCAACATCGGTGTGGGGGAGAGCGGAGACAGACGGACCCGGGCAGCCGAGGTGCTGCAGCAGCTCACAGGCCAGACGCTCGTGTTCTCCAAAGCTGGATACATGGTTAGATCCTTTGGCATCAGGAGAAATGAAAAGATTGCTGTCCACTGCACAGTCCGTGGGGCCAAGGCAGAAGAAATCCCGGAAAAAGGTCTAAGGGTGCGAGAGTATGAGTTAAGAAAAAAATAACTTCTCTGATACTGGAAACTTTGGCTTTGGGATCCAGGAGCACATCGATCTGGGGGTCAAATATGACCCTAGCATTGGTATCTACGGCCTGGACTTCTATGTAGTGCGGGGTAGGCCAGGTTTCAGCATCGCAGACAAGAAGCGCAGGACAGGCTGCACTGGGGCCAAACACAGAATCAGCAAAAAGGAGGCCATGCACTGGTTCCAGCAGAAGTATGATGGGATCATCCTTCCTGGCAAATAAATTCCCGTTTCTTTCCAAAAGGCCAATAAAAACTTTTCAGTGAAATGTAAAAAAAAAACTAAAAAAAAAAAAGAACTAATCCAACAATGATATAAAAATATAGACTTTATCCCAGCAATAAAAGATTTGCCAGTGAATGCACTGAGGTGATTCATCACAGTAAAGACCAAAGGAGAAAAACCATGTATCTTTCTCAACAGATGCAGAGAAAGCATTTAACATAATACAACATCTATTTAAGATTTTATAATTAAAAAATCTTAGCAAAGTAGGAATAGAAAAAAAGTTCCTTAAATTGGTACCCAAAACCTACAGCCAACACTTTTCTTAATGGAGAAAATTTAGGCACAATCCTTTTGATATTGGGAACGAGACAAACATGTACTATGTAAGAGTGTACTGTAAAAAGTACTGTGTAATAGTGCTGGAGATCCTACACTTGATCTTAGCCAAAAGGCCAAGAAGCGATTATAGTGCTGGAGATCCTAACCCATGTGGTAAGAAAAGGGAAAAAAAGGAGGTAGAGCAAATGGAAGGGAAAGATAAAACTTCAATTATTTATAAAATATATGATCATCTACATAGAAAAACCAACAGAATAAAGCCTATCATAATTAATAATAAAACTGAGCAAGGTTATCAGAAACAAGATCAACTTACCCAACTTCCAATGTTTCTCTATACCAGTGGTTCTCAACTAGGAGCAATTATACCTCCCAGGTAGCATTGATAAATTTAACAAATAAAATTTAAAAAGACCATCCGTTAAATCTGAATTTCAGATAAGCAGTAAATAATTATGTGGTCAAACATGTCCCATGCAATATTGGGGAAAAAATATTAGGTCAGTATTTTATGTGACAATCCCACCCCCAGAGGACATTTGGCAATGTCTGAAGACATTTTGTCACAACCGGGGAAGGGGATGCTACTGGTGTCTGATGGTGTCCTACAGGGCACAGGACAGCCCTCACAACGAAGGATCATCCAGCCCCAAATGTCACTCGTGCCGAGGCTCAAACACTCTGGAATAACCAACCAGAAAATATAGTAAAAACCAAGGACCATGCACAGCAAGTATAAACTGTCTGGGGATTAATTTAACAAAAGAATTCACAAAATTTCTATAGAGAAAACTTTGAAACTCTGAGAAAACGCAGAAAAGATTACATGAATACACAGAGACATTCTATGCTCTTGTGAACATGTAAAGTGCCGATTCTACTCTGAAAATCACTACATTCATTGTAACTCTAATCCAACTTTAAGCTTTTTCTTCAGAGATTTGGTAAACTTTTTCTAAAAATTTACACAGAGTAATAATGGACCATGACTAGCACAGTCGAGTCTGAAAAAGAAAAGAGGAGATACTTGCTTTGCTAGATATTAAGGCACCCTAGAAAGTCGTGGTGTTAGAAAGTCAGTTACTGGGTCAAGAACAAACAAGAGATCAACCGGGCAGAAAGGAGCAGAGCCAGACCCTTGCGAACTTTATGTTTCAGAAACGCTGCCACAAATCAGTGGGGAAGGGCAGACTAACTCACTTAAAGACATGAAAAACCAAACCCAAACAAAACTGGACCCTACCTATTATATGGAAGATGCACACCCACAGGGTTTTACATGAACCCTTTTAAGTGAAAAGTAAAACTATACATAACATTAATAGAAGACAATGTCAGTGGGCTAAGGATGAGAAAGGTCAGAAGTAGAAGCCGTAGGGGTGGATTTGCTTACACCAAAAGAAAGGACTCCTAGTCAACAAAGGATGCCGTGGGTACAAATAACAGGCTGGGAGAAGACAGCCCTACCTAAGGCAACAACAGACTGATATCTACATCAAACAAGGGACTCCGGTAAATCAGCACGGAAAAAGAACCCTGGTTAAAAAGTCAGCAAAGAATATCAACAGGCAGTGACCTGAAGACCTTAAAGGCTAAGAAACATACAAAGAGATGCTCACACTTCTTGTAGAGAGATGTAAATTGGAACAACCATACAATCTCACTTTACTCTCAGCACATTAATAAAAATTAGGAAGCTGGAGAATGCCAAGAGGTGCCAGAGATTCGCCTTTGGGGGTTTGAGGGCAGCCTTTCTTCAGAAGAGCCTGGCTATACGGGATCAGATTAGGCAAACGCACAGTCTGTGATCCCGCTATCCTGCTCCTGCGTACGTGCCCCGAGAGATCATCCAAAGATGATTAAGGGGACATGTGCAAAGACGCTGGCCCCAGGGATGCTTGCGAAGCCAGAGCGGGCCGAGCCGCAGCTGCGCATCACTGGGGGCGCGGGTGGGAACACGGCGCATGCGCACACGGGAGGTCGTGCCGTACGGGGAGGAAATGGATTAGAGGGACGCACAGCGGCATCAATGGGTCTTTAAAAGCGTGATACTTAAAAGAAAAAAACTTTTAAATTAAAAACCGTGCCCACCAAGCAATATATGCTTCAGACACACAAATAAGTTGCATGTCACAACACAACATGATTGCTGATCGTGAGTGGAGAATAGGAAAGAGAAATGAAGACAAAGGGGAGTAAGAAGATAAAAAAGCAAGAAAGATCCGTGCAAAGATAGAAAATAAATGCAATGAACTGAGGAGTATGAGTAATTTAGCCTCTAGCACCCGGGGCCTAAAGAAAAGTTAACAAGGTGGGGCGGGGAGGCGCAATGGGCTTGACAGAAGCTGGAAAAGCCATTTCCTAGCTGCAGGTAACTTGGGTGCAGACTGTCCAATTGTTTGAAGGAAATGGTTTTCCTAGTGGTCAGGGGTCCCTCCCACCCCCCACTCTGGAGGACGCGTCGGGAGCTGGGCTGAGGCCCTGGGAGGGGAACCGGTGAGCGCGGGGGTGGGGGGCTGCTGAGAGTCTCCCAGTGGCGGTGTCCGAATCCCGGGGGGGGCGGAGTGTCAGCTGAGGGGGTGCTGAGGTTGTTACCACAGGTGGAGGCCTCATTCGTGCCCACGGTCCAGCAAGGCGGAGGGGACGTTCAGGGAAACACGGTAATCCTCGTATGTCGTGTATAATTTCTTAACCAAAACCAGATGATAGATATGTTGTGTAACATACTTTCAGCATGAAGCAGTATGCTGTCAACACTTCCTATGATATTAAATGTTCTTCTAGAACACTCTCATGGTTTTATGGGGTCCGTGCAAGTTACTTATTGCTCAGGTCCAGGCCCCACCCTCCTCTGCTCTGTTCAGTCTCCCTCTCCAGCTGGTTCCCTGCCAGGTTCCACCAACGGAGACACTGCAGAAAACTAGATGGGAGGGTTACTTCTAACCACCCTTCCTCCCTGCATATGTGGTTCCAGCTCCTGCACCCCCTCCCTAGCTTTGGGACTCTGGTCCAGCCAGTGGGATAGAAAGGCTGTTTTTTGGCATTGCTAATCTCTGGATTGCATCTCCACACACTGGCTTCTCAGCTCTTTTTATCACCTGTAATAACCAAGCCCCTGTCCTAAAATCTGAAATACCTGGCATGGATTGTCTTCCTGACCGGACTGATACAGGACTGGCAGACTCATTGGATGGGCTGCTCCTTTTTTATTATAAATCATGTAATAGTCAATACCCTCAAAGCTGAATCTTGGTCTCCAACCATCTGTGTTTGCTCTGCACAAATTTCTAGAAAATTACACAAAACATGCTTTTGATGCATGTTGCCTGTTCCCCCCACCCCAAATGGTTGTACCAGCTTGCACTTCCAGTAGTGTAGGAGATGCTTCTATAATTTCATTGTCAAACAGGGCTCTGTCTGTGGGGGGTCAGTAGGGTCTAGTGAGGAAGGGATTGCCCAGGTTTGTATTTTGTTTATTGGAGACACGGGAAAGGTAAGGAGAAGACAGAGGTACATGCTTTTTAGATGTGCACATAAGTAGGGGCTTTCCATCCTGAATGTGAATCACATGCCTACAGAGACCAGCCAGAACCCCTGAGGCCTCTGCTAAGGGCTGAGCCAAACTCCTTAAACTCCTTAGCCAGCCAGGCTTCTTCACTGATGCTTGAAAGCTAGGGGCTCAAAAATGGCCTAGGAAAGGTCATCTATCCTCCAGTTCCATTGGAACTGAGTTTCTGGGAAGAGAAATAATATCTGGGGTCAAGACCAAGTCTTGGCCACATTCCTGTCAGGCAAGTAAGTACATACAGTCAAAATAGAGATACTCATTAATTATTCAGACCAGCCAGGAAGTACTAATATGCCCCAAAGACGACTGCACTCTAAAAAAATCCTCATGAAGCACACGTTTGATATTTTGAAAAATGTTAAAATTTATTAATAGTTAACATCACATAGTTAATTCAACTAGCTCTTTATTATACATGACAACATCTTTACTAGACTGAGTGCTCAAAGATTTGAGAATCAACACATCCCAGTCAAAGATTGAGATTCACTGTATTTACATCAGGCAAAGCAGCATCAACAAGGAACTGTCACCTAACTATGGGAACACAGACATTCAAAATGCATTTTCCTTTTTGGAAACCAACAACATATCTTGAATAGCCACACACACAGCTCTACCTTTAAAAAAAAAAGGTGCAGTTTCACAGACAGTGCCTAATTTTCAAGTTTAAAAGTGAAAATTCACCTCTACTTCTTGGGCATTCTTTAGTGATCCGCAGATCTAGACGTTGTTCTCAGTACAAGTGTGATCAATGTGCCAAGTTGGGTGCTGTTGAGTCCTGTCTTTCCTTCCTTGTTGTGATCCTTGATTTCCCACTCAATAGTGTTCTAGGGTCATTAGTTGCAGGGTGTGGGTGTGCATATTTTAAGGAGGAAGTGGAGTGCAGATTCAGAATTAACTACACCCCTGAAAGGTAGAGCATGCAAGATTTTATGCCACCCTACTCCCCCCACCCCCACCAACAGTTCGAAATAAATACTGTGTATAAAAACAGCTCAGCCTCGAGAAGCCCTCGGACAACGCTTCTTGGAAAAACATTTACAAAACAGACCAATTTGGCTAGGAGGGCACAAATCCGCCTTTAAAAGTGTTGTCCCTGAGGTTTTCTTCGTTTTGATTGTTTCATTGTTTGGTTTTGGTTTGCTGTTAACAGTGAGACAGAATTTTTAAAGAAGTGCTCTCGGTGGCTTCCTTTATCTTCTTAGCTTAAAAATACTCCTGACTACCCTAAGAATGACCATTCTTAAGCAATGAGTCTGTCTGGAAGGATTCCTGTTTGCTTTGGTTAAGAGCCGGTGTACTGTTGCCCCAGGAAGGTCTCGACAGAGCAGCCTGTTTCTGTGGTTTCTTCGATCCACAGACCCAGCTTCCCTCACTGTGCCCTGCTTTCCACGTTTCCCAGTCTGCAGGTTTAAAAAGGAGCCGGGAAGGAGCTACTTAGCCATTCACTCACCCTGAAGAGGCTTCCCTTCTCTTCCCGCAGGCGAATGAGGTATTTCTAGTAACCTGTCAGTATCTTCACCTTCCATCCTATAACTACACAAATCTATTACAGAGGCCAAGTCTGAAAAGACCCTCTGTATATTTATATACATAACACATTGACCTATAAATACATTACATACAACCAATCATTACATACAGTATCAAGGTAAAGGAGCAGATGTACTTCATGAACTAAATAAATTTCAAACATAAATTAAAATGAAAATAGAGTTGTTTCCACTTCTGCAGGAAAAATCTTAAAAAACAGACCAAGAAGTCTCCCCTGCCCCAAAGGTCCATTGCTCATGGATGACTCAGGAACCCACTCATGGCCTTGGTTTTGCTTTCTCAGATTCGGGATGCTTTAATTCCAGGACGAGCCTCCGCTGGAACCCACCAGGCTAGTAAAGGAGGTTAAAGAGGGGTTGCCACGTGGCTATCCACGGACTACCCCCCACCCCAATGCTGCCTCTCCTCCCGCCCCTGCCCCTCTGCCTGTGGGAGAATCAGGCTCAAGTTAGTGGAGATCCCTCCAGATTCAGAGGAGACACAGTATCGGCCTCCGTGCTAGGGAATGCTCTTCACCTTAGAAATACCATGCTCAGGGTCCATGGGGAAGCCACCGTATCTTTTCATTAGTGTCCCCATCCTGTAGGATTATGCAGGGACGTGGAATTTGGCCAGAGGGGTGACTAAAGGTTAAAATTTGTCTTGAGGTTTAAAAGAACCAGTAGGAATAGTTGGACAAGTATGAACAAGTCCTTACTTCAAAACATATGTATCGCGGGAGGGCCATGGCTTGGGCACTGAACTCAACAGTGAGCATCCACAGAGACCACACCCAGTCCCACAGGCTCCTCTCTGCCAGGGAAAAGCCCAGGGGCCCGTCTCTGACACAGAGGATGACATCTTATAATTTAAAGCAGGGAAGAAGGGGAACCAGAGGAAGTCCTTTCTGGATTTCAGGGACTCTAGCGCTGGCCAGCCTCGCGGATGCGGCAGGCCACAGCAGTGATGAGAGCTGCCCCCTTCCCGCTGCCGTCCTCTGACTCCAGGAAGGACACGTCACATTTCGGAGCCAGGTCCTTCACCGTCTCGTGCATGACTTTGGCAAAGCTGCGAGTGTTGGGAGGAAGACACAGGGGGAGAAAACACCTTAGTCATGATTGATTTGTATCCCCCGAGGTGAGATCCTAGGAAGTGATGCTGGAAGCCCAGGAATTATTAAGATGAGCAAAAGGATGACAGCTACCGTGTATTAAACACTCACTATGTACTGTGTATCAGAAAACCAAGGCTTCAAGAGGCTAGCAACATGCCCAAAGTCTATGTCACGGCAGGCAAGTGGGGAGCCACTGGGAGGCAACTGTCTGAGATTCTGAAGGTTGTGTTCTTAAAACTCATCAGTGGAAGAGGGTCAAGGGTCACGGGCACCACAGGTGTGCCCTGCGGAAGTGCACAGCCTGTCCACGAACTCTGGAAGGAAGACCAAACCCCATGCACGTGCCACTTTATTTTCCAGGGGTATGGACTCACATAGACCCACATCTAAACCAAAATGTCATTAAAGATACAAGAAGCAGGCTCAGGGGGTTACTGTTGGCACATTATGGTGATTGTAGAGCCTTTCAGTATGGGATCAGAGAAAGAGAAAGTCACCATGTCCCCCAACATAATAGGGTCAGGATGCCCTCATCTATGAAACAAGCCTCAGTGCCAGGGGCCTGACTTCTGTTCCCCTCCCCACTCTCATCTGGGACCAAGATTCCCACTTATGAGGCACTGATCATCAAGAGAAGGAACTGCAAGTTTCTCTCTTTCCAGTAACTGTGTAAACTCTGGGCAAGTCTCTCAACTCCTCGAGACGGTCATGGTGAGAGCAGGCAACATTTCAATTGATGAGTCTCTCTACCCTCACTGTCCCACCTACTGCCCAGACCAGAGTAACAGCTCTATTCTTTTCACTTTGAGCTGAGAAGCTTCCAGGGGAAAGGGATTGGGGCACTTCCTGAATTCAAAATGAGTTACTCAAAACATATGCAAATGAGTGACGAAGGGAGAGGAACAACGGTTGATGAGAGAAGAGAGATGGAGACAGGGAAAAGTGTAGAAAGAATAGGGAATTCAGTGCTTCCACATGGGGGGGGGGCGCGGCGGGTTCGAGGGACACGCTTTCTATAAAGAGCCAGACAGTAGATAGGCTTTCAGCTTTGTGGGCAACTACACTGCCATTGTAGAGTGAAAGCAGCCGGAGACAACACATACATGAGTGGGCATGGCCGCATTCCAATAAAACTTTATTTACAAAAACAGTCATGGCTCTAAGTCCGCCAGCCCCCATGCCAGACTGCAGAAAATACCCCACTCCAGAGTTCCAGCAAACATTCCGAGAATGTTCACAGGAGCACTGTTTGTAACAGACAAAATCTAGAAATAAGCCAATATCCATTAGCAGTACAATAAACTACCGTATACTCATTCAGAGGTATGCTCCACAGCCCTGAAAATTCACAAACTACAATCCCATACTTCAATGTGGATGCATCTCAAAACTGTACATGCTGTGTGGGAAAAGCCAGTCCCAAAAGGAGAGATGCCAGGGGATTCCCCTGACAGCAGTTTCAAATCTAAGGAAAACCAAACAGTAGCGATACAAACCCAGATACACAGGGAGAGGCAGCTAGGGACTGAGTCACCAGAGTACCTTCCCCCGGCAGGGGACAGGGGTGTAACCCTGAGTCCTCCAAGGTGGGTGGTAAACACAGCCCTACTTCTGGTTTTTAACCTTTAAACTAAAGCGTCTACGTTATATACACTCATTTGGAATGCTGAGTGGTTTGCTATAAAATAAAAAGGGAGAGAAAGAGAAGGCAAGGAAAGAACAGATGGAGAAAGAAAGATGGGAAAGGGAGAGTGGAGGTCAGGCACTCACTGAGGATGTAGCTTGTAGAGGGTCCCATCCACGCCCACAGTCACTTTGAGAGTGTCCAGCCCCCGGTTTTCTCGGATCTTGTCCACCACGGCGGCCATGCCCGCGCCACAGAGCTGGGCTGCCCGCCGCGCCACCACGGTGCACACCTCTTTGACAATGATGCTGTCGTCACAGGTGCTCTCGAGCCCCAGGTGGCGCAGGATAGCGCGGACCTGCAGCAGGGCCAGGCAGTCACTGCGGGGGGGGGGGGGGGACGACACAACAGCGAGTGGTCGGTCACATACACGAGGCGCTGGCGGCAGCCCCGGCCAGGTGGCTCCTGTTCTTGAACTCTGTCCAGGGAGCAATACTCATCCCACTGGACCCCGCAGAGCCCTCCTGAGTGTGAAGGACAAAGAAATAGCTCCTGTTTCTACCTGGCCGGGTGAGGGGGGCACTGCTACCCTACAACCCGTACTCAAGAGAACAGGACAGCCACTGTCTAGCTTTCCACTCATTTGGAAAGAATAAAGGCAGTGAGGATGGCTGTAGTTGGCATTTTCGGCTGCAAAGCTCTTTCCTACCCGTTTCCTCCGTGTTGTTCCCGGGTCAATGGGACAGGCTTCCGCTGCCTCCCAGCATAGATCCCTGCTCTTATTTCTACCCCCTCCCAGGGTGCTCTGATGGCGACTCGTGCAGTCTTTATGAAACAAATGTGAATCGAATTGTAAGAAGAATATAAATCTTATTATATCAAGGGAACTGTCTTGGGCCTCCGGAATCGGCTTCCTGCACGCCAACGGACACGCCAACTCGAACAACCCTCTTTCTCTTCGCTGGTTCAGATGCCTAGCGCCCCCGCTCGGGCGCTCAGCTGACTCCTGTTCTCCCACACACCTGACAGTGACGCACAGAAGCCACTCGTCAAGGGCTCTGGAAGTCCCTGTTCTAATCCGGAGCCGGCTTCGCTGCCATTATTAGACGGGAGGAGGGAGGTTTTGCTTTCACGGGTTTCTGACTGCCTGGCACGCCCGCCTTCACTCGGTCCTGCTTCTCCTCTCACCGCGGCCGCAGTTAGAAGCGCCCTCCTGCCCGGCGCGAGGGCTTTCATAGGCTACGCCCTCCGTGCGTTCCAATTTACATCCTGTGAACAGGTTACCTTCCCACCTTTGATAACTGGCCTAAAACCCAACAATATTACTTTGCATGGGCTCCTGGCAGCTCAGCAGGTCTTTTCATGCTTAAAATGCCAACTATCCATGAGTTACTTTAAATAAACAGTAGAGCTATGAATGTCTCTGCGACCAAACTGACCTGTATATAAGCCATACCCCGATCTTACTTGAGCTCTGGAAATCCTTCAGCTTGTCTGTCCATGAGAGGGAGGACGCGGTCCCACCCGACCCCAGACCCAAATTCTCACCTCTCAATCTGAGACAGGAACTTGGTTTCAAAGATTCCCCTTGTCTTGAGCCGCTCTGAGATGCGGCCACGGAAGAGCAGCCCACGCTTGGTGAAATCGATGAGGATGTTACGGACAATCTCCCCCAAGTACATGCCGCTGATCATTTTCTCGAACCTGCAATGCAGATGACGTTCACAGAGGACGCATGTAGGAAGGGGTGATGCCCAGAGCATTAGCAAAGAGAGGGCATGCAGATTCCCCTGGGTGGGAAAGGAAGTGCTACTTGATTCACTTGGGCAGGATGCCTGGTATCTGCACACACAGACCCACGGCCTTCAGTGAAACTGACCACAGCGCCCACCTGAGGACCAACGGGTTCCCGGGGTCATCCCCATCTTCCAGGCTCATTACATTCCAACACTTACTCCCAACTCCTCAAGGAGGAAAACACACCCAAAGCCCACTTCTAAGAAGAGAGCAGAATGCTGAGTCTTAACCGTGAACTTCACCAGGCATTCAGCAGGCTTTCTCTCTAAACCATGACATCATTATCACACAAGTAACTAGTGCACCTGGAGAACCCGTCTTGTCCACTAGGACTGAATGTGATTACTCAGTGGCTTGAGGGTCTTGTGGCCCTGCATAGTGCCTTTAAAGAAGTTGAGATCCCGAGTTTCAACCAAGACACCCCAGCGCCACTCCATCTTGTTTCACCCTTTGTTTCATTAATGACACCTGTCTGGCCCCTAGAAGCATTTTAGTCTGTGACCTCTACTCTCGACAAAAGTGTATTATTCTGCAGAACTATGGTCCCTGACCATATCCAGTTAGGAAACACTACACACATCTTCCCAGTGGCAAGTGTGCTGGATCTTACACTATCGTCCTGCAGCTCAGAGCCCCTCCCCACCATCCTGGGGGCTTTGTGAGGCTGGGGCTGACCCTTGTCCAGGCCGGACAACAGAGGCTGCTACATACTGGATGGATGGAGGAAGAGATGCACTCCTGTCTGCTTCCTGTCCCTCTCTCTGCCACACCAGCTTCTTTACCGTACGATTAGCAGATGTCTGCTTTTCCTCACCATCGCAGACCTAGGTTTAAACACCCTCTCTCCTGTTCTCACAGGCAGGGGTGGGCAGGCTGCTTCTTGAATTTTCTAGCTCTGTGTTCCTCAGTGTCCCCTGTTCATCTAAAACCTATGTGACTGATTCCCTATAGGAAATGCTCCTCAAAACAGGTATCGTGACCTGTTTTCCCAAATGAACTTTGAAGAAGGCGTCACAATCCAGCAGGGAGACCTTTCCAGATGTATTTGACAAGAAGCCCTTTCCAAGGACATTTCCTCTCCTCACATCTCAAAAATGAGTGTCCTGGGATTTGTTGTTGTCTAGAGGATCTGACCGCTCGTCACCATGCAGTTTTGGGGTACCCGTACCAGGACCCACCCTCACTGGGGTACCTACCTCTGTCTGCCAGGGTTGAGGGAAAGCTCATCCACAGCCACATCAAATTCCGTGCGGAAGTCGTCGAGGCATCCATTGTCCCCGAAGGCCCCCCACTCCATGTTGACACACATCCGGCCCTCCTCCCCCTCAACCAGCTCCACGTTCCGCATCTCCTCCATGTAGCAGGCATTGCTGCCCGTGCCTGCCAATCACAAACACGTCAGCTCCTTGCCGGGAACCGTCCTCCCTCCACCCGAGCCTCTGGGTCACGATGTAGGAACGGCAGCCGGGGCCTTACCAACGATGAGGCCGACTTCGCAGTGAGGGTCTTCATAGCCACAGGTCATCATAGTCCCGACTGTGTCATTCACCACAGCGACCACGTCCAGGTCAAACTCCTGAGAGGGCAAAAGCAGATCCCCAGTCCACCAATGAATCCCAACATTTTTCTTTCAGACACTGGCAAGGGAGATTTGTATGTATATAATTTATATAAGTGTTTTTCATACAGCATGGCTCATTCTCTCTTTTCATTCAGGTCCCTGCTCAAATGTCACCTCCTCAGGGAGGTTCCCTGGTTGGGCTATTTAAAAGTGCCCTTCTCTAGCCCACTCACCCTGTCCTCACCCGACTTCCTTTTTCTTCCCAGTGCAACAGCACCTGACACTAGCTCATGGGTTTGTTTATAGCACAAGAGTCTGCTGTGGTCATTCCTGAATCCACAGTGCCAAGAGCAGGGCTTGACACACAGGGGACACTCGACCATCGCCGAAGGACCACGTTAATTCTCCCCCGACCCATGCACCTGCACCCAGCACTTCCCCACTTTGTGACCGCGGGTCGTTCCACGCCTCGTGGTGCCCCGTCCCACCTCCCGCCGGTGGATGGCCTCCTTCAGCAGCGTGACCACGTCCTCTCCCTCACAGCCCGATGCCTTGAAGCCTTTAGTCCACTTGAGGAGGATGCTCTAAAAAAAGAAAAATCAGAGGAGGCTACCAGAGGAGGGCTCCTGTGTCATCCCCGGGGCCCTGCTGTGCCTCCAGACCCAACCTCACCACCAAGTCGTACAGACCCCTTCAAACACCAACCGTCTCTCCCACACGCGATGGCGCACCTAGTGCATTCCATCATTTAATCCTCACAGCAAACTGGGGAAATATCATTATAATGCCCCTTTTCTAGGTAACTGCAGCTCTGGGATAATCTGCTCAAGGCCTGAAACTTGGAGGAGAGGAGCAGGACGTCCCCCCCGCCGCCACCCCCCAGGCCTGCCAATTCCTTGGGTCCCTAAGCACACTAGTGCCCCTGCCACAGAGCGAAGTGTTTCTTTCGCTGGGAAAAGCAGTTTGCTCTGTCCTATCCTCTATTTACATCAGAAGTCAGAGTATGTCTCTTAATTGTCAAACTCCAGTTGGGCACGAACAAGTGCGCTGACCATAGGTGGGTGACACTCGGCTTCACACCACCCCAGTGAGGGAAGCGCTCTCTCATCTCCTCACAGACCGCCCTAAGCCACTCGTCTTTAATGCGGCCATCTGCCGAGTCACGGGGCCCTCTGGGGAACAGATAGATACATGGTAGTTTTACACGTGGGAGAACTGATTCGTGTACTGTCCCCTGGCCCTCTCTGCTGCTGCAGCCCAGCAGGAAACCAGCACCAAGGGCTCATGGGCCCCTTCCTGCAAGGCCAGAATCCATAAATGGGCTGTATGCTCACTATCCACCCATATCCATGGTCTCTCCAGGCCTTGCCTGGCCTCCCCACGAGCTTGGCATTTTATGGCCCAGGTGAGTTTGGAACCACAAGTCAACCTGGATGTGTCACACTGTGCTCAGATCCCAGGAGATTTGGGAAAACAAGATACAATCCCAGCCGCACCCAGCTTTACGTACCTACATCCTAACAACAGCATGCTCATCTCCACCTAACTGTCTTGCCTACAGATTAGCTTCACACCTCTAATGAAATTTTGTATTGGCACTTCCAAGTTTACAGAATGATCAAATGACATTATTTCAGGTGGTCCTTAATAATGACACATGCAGAGGCCCCTGCTGCTGGGGAGATGTGCCCCAGGCTGCCAGGTGGTCAAGGCAGCTTGGGGTCTCTGGGCCTTGGCACCTGCTGATTTTCCACACAACAGGATGATCTTAGCAAAGCAGAACCCAGCTTACAGACAGATGGAATGACAGAACCCAGCTTCTGCTTCATCTGCTCTTAATTTTTTTAAGATTTTATTTATTTGACAGAGAGACACACAGCGAGAGAGGGAACACAAGCAGGGAGAGTGGGTGAGGGAGAAGCAGGCTTCCTGCTGAGCAGGGAGCCCAATGTGGGGCTCGATCCCAGGACCCTGGGATCATGACCTGAGCCGAAGGCAGATGCCTAACGACTGAGCCACCCAGGCGCCCAGCATCTGCTCTTAATTTTTACAATGCTAGACTATACGTGTGCTCCCTGCAGAAACTTAGAACATACAGAATGAAATCTAATACAATGAACCTGGAATCTCATCATTCAGGTAGAAATAGTGTAGGTGTTCTTGGGCCACTGGATAAATAATTCACGATATATATGTGTTGGCATGAAAAGTAAGGTGTGTCTATTGAAAAATATTTCAGTAGGAAAAGCCTGGAAGCATGTATACTGGAGTGCTATGTTCCATCTTCGTATGAATTGTGTTTTTTTCAGGTTTCTATACTGCAGAGACTATCTTTTTCTTAAAAAATGTGAGTCTTACCATCGGTTTTTTTCCCCGTCATTGAAATTTCTTCCAAAAAATCTAGTTGCTGATACGAGGCAGCGGGTTGCTCAGAATTTATTAACTATTTCCCAAGTATTGAACAATGGGTTTGTCCCTGATGTTTTCATTATGGTAAACAATGTTTCATTAAGTATCACATAAATATGGATCTTCATGTTTCCTTTGGTAAACTGATGCAAATGGAGAAGGCTTTGAAAACCCAGTGCATTGAAAATCATGAGAAAAATCATGTGTCGAGACAAAGGAATGAGAAAGGCTGGGGAGAGGGAATCAGAGGAAGGTGGTCAAACGTACAAGCTTCCAGTGATAAGGTAAGTTAAGTGCTCAGGATGGAATGAACACAGAGAACACTACTGTACAGTGTATTTGAAAATCGTGAAAGAGTAAATCCTAAGAGTTCTCATTACAAGGGAAAAAAAACAGTTTTTTATTTTTTGTTTTGTCTCTATAGGAGATGACAAATGTTAACTAAACTTGTGGCGATCAGTTCACAATATATGTAAGTCAAATCATGGTGCTGGGCTCCTTCAACTTCTACGGCGTGCACGTTACCATCTCAATAAAACCGGAAAAGAACAGAAAAGCGAGACGCAACACTGCCCTAGTAACAGTGGACACACGGTGACAGGTGTTTGGAAATACTGCATCAGGCAAGGGTTTTCATTGCAGGACACCCCAAAATCTCCACTGAACTGGTGCGCATGATGAATTCAGCTCCGAGGGGAAGAGGAGGAAACATTTACAAAACTCAGCTGAGCAACATGCAGGCTACTGTTCCAGGTCCCTGCGGCAAATGCTGGCCTTTCTTCCCCGCTGGACCGAGCTCCCTATACCTGGGACGTTTCCCGCCTCCGTACTCCCCTGCACACGGCCAGGCCTGCCTGCCCTTCTCCCCCGTCCACTCCTTCTTTGGACTTGGAAGCCAATCCAAGTCTTGTTCATGCTCTCTGGGTGTGTGCTCAGGTTAACATCACTCTGGTACCCCACTGGTGCCCCGTTCCCACCAGCAACTCATGCCTTCCTGCGCTTGCTTACTTGCAATCAGCACAGTTTGTGTGTGAGACCCTAAAGCAGGAACCACGCCTTGTGTACCCTGGCCTCTCTGTCCACTGCATACTGTCCATTTGTAAACGTGCGTGTACGCTTCTAGAGGACCGATGGAGACAGAGAACAACTGCTTAGACAATAGTATCCTAACATCTGGTGTGCCGACTGTCAACCCAGAACAAGCCCAAGCATGACACTCCTCTCTCCTCCGTTCTCAACACACCATGTCCGGAATATCTGAGCACACCAGCTCTCGGCTCACCTGCTTCACTCATGCAAGGCAAGTTGAAAAGGAATGAAAAGCAAAGCTAAGACTAGAGAAATACCGGGGCACCTAAACAACAGGAGGTGAATGAAAATGTCCTGCAGGAGCTGGTGAGCATCCCTGAGAACATGGGCTCAGGTATCAGGAAACCAGAATTCAGATCTTGGCTTGCCACTCCCAAGCCTTCTGATCTGGCACAAGATACTTGGCATCTCTACAGACTTTGTTTTCCTTTCTGCAAAATGGGCATACAAACACCTACCTACCTTCTATGGTCGCTGTGAGGGTTAAATGAGATAACACACATAGGAAGCCTAGCACTGTGCCTGGCATAAAGTGCTATAAAAATGTTCACTGTTAATATTTTGATAAGCTCCATCATCATCATCCCAAAGATTGTGACCTTTTTAACCTCCATCAGCTCCAACTGAATCATGCCCATCAACAGGCTCCTTGTCATGACTGCTTACTCATCCCCTTTTCCTTCTCTCAACTTTCTCCCTTGCTCCAAACCCTGGCTGGGGTAGGGTCAATAAAGTCCAGAGGTAAGCCCTCACCCCAACCCCCCGGGGAGTCTGTTACCTCATCCAGGCTGTTCTGCTGGCAGGGGAAGGAGAAGGTGAAACCCAGAGGCAGGGACACTCCCTTCATGCCCATGTACTCAAGGAAGTCGGCGATGCACTGGACGATGTGGTCAAAGAGCTGCGGGGAGAAGTTAGGCTCTGAGGAAGGGGCCCTGGCCCAGGGCAGGGCGCCTCCCCAGCAGGGTCTGGCCACGAGCTCAGGGGCTGCACTCAGGAGAAATGCACGCTCAGGCACAAACCTGGGGGAAGACCAGGCCAGGGCCCCAACCCACCTGGCCTTCCCTGGGACTGTGGCTGAGCAGAGGAAGCACTGTCCTCCCGGGCAAGACTTGGGTATCTACTGGGGTCCCCTCCCAGAGGCGCCACCCTGCCTCACCTCGTCCCCCGTGCCGTGCATGACCTCCTGCGGGATAGAGTAGATCTTGTTGTGCATCTCTACTCCACGCCGCTTTCCATTCCTCACTCGCACCAGCAGGACCCGGAAATTGGTACCCCCAAGGTCCAAGGCCAGGAAGTCACCTTTCTCTGAAAAATAAACCCGGGAAGGTGATGGACTGGAGTGTCACCACGTCAGCACCACAGAGAGTGACAGTCTCTAAAATCCTTTCCCCTAAGGGAGACCTCTTCTGGCAGCCCTCAGCACCCTCAGGGGAGATGGACTGTGTGCTCCACAGAATAGGAAAGAAAATAAGATCCCTGGGACCAGAGCCCTGCTGCCTCCCTAGTGGTCCTCAGATAAGTTCAGGTGGGCCAGACATCACAATGAGCTCTGCGTGACACCGGAAACTGTGATACGTGATACAGTACACTCAAAAATATCTAGGGGCACTGGGGGGCCTCAGTCAGTTAAACTGGGATCGGCTCCCTGCTCAGCAGGGAGTCTGCTTCTCCCTCTCCCTCTGCCCCTCCTCCCTGCTTGTGCTCTCTCTCACATGTGCGCATGCACTCTCTCTGTCAAATAAATAAAATCTTAAAAAAAATCTAAATGTGTCATTCATGCTAAATCAAAGGCCGCCTTACCTTAGCTTCTAGAATAGAGAAGAAATAGCAGAGTTCAACTCTTTAAAGGAAATCGAAGGGAAACCTTTTTACGTGAGAACACCCTCCTCTGTTGGGCAATCATAATACTGTGCTACGTGCCTCAAACACTCCTCACGCAGCCATGAGGCGGAGGCACTGCCCTTCCCTCTGATGGAGGAAGGGGACCTGGCTGAGCCAGGCTGAGTCGCTCCCTCGGGCCCACAGGTCAGGAGCGGGTAGAGCAAGCACCACGGCCCAGGCTCCTGCTCCTGCGCCAACCATGCAACGCTGGTCTGCTCGATGTTAGTTCTCTCTGCATTGAGAAAAGACCACCATTCCTTAATGTGCAAGACCGAGGCCATGGGTCAGCAATCTTTTCCCGTAAAGGGTCGGGCAGTAAACTTTTGAGGTCTTGTGAGCCATAGTCCCTACTGTAACCTCACCACTTTGTCATCGTAGCGCAAAGTGGCCACAAGCAACGCGTAGACAAATGGGCATGGCTGCGTATCGGTCAAACTTTATTTAAAAAAATAGGCAGCAGGCCAGGTTGAGCTCATGGGCCTTCGTGTGCCAACTCCCTGACCCAGGGCTTATAAGAACTGGCCCTGGAACCAAAATTCCTGGGTTCGAATCCCAGCTCTGCCGTTTTCCAGCCGTGGGAACTTGGGCAGGTTTCTTCATTTCTCTGTGCCTCAGTTTTATGACAAACATTTTAGTTTGTTAACAAAATTAAGTACTAATCTCTGTTAATAGTTCAAGATTAAATGAATTAAATTATGTGTAAAATGCTTACAGAAGCGTTTGACCCATTGTAGGCATTCAGTAAGTGTTTATCATTATTATCATTCAATTTACAGCAGAAGGGGGCGCCTGGGTGGCTCAGTTCGTTGGGCGACTGCCTTCAGCTCAGGTCATGATCCTGGAGTCCTGGGATCGAGTCCCGCATCGGGCTCCCTGCTCAGCGGGGAGTCTGCTTCTCCCTCTGTCCCTCCTCCCTCTCATGTTCTCTGTCTCTCATTCTCTCTCTCAAATAAATAAATAAAATCTTAAAAAAAAATTATAGCAGAAGAATACCTGGGTTGAACTTCTTGAACGCTAGCATTTTCTAGTACTGGTCCCAATACCCAATGCTAAGGCAGAGGGAGTCCTGCTGGGGCATCGACACCAGGACAAAGGCCCAACGTGGTGAGCTGAATAGCAGCCCTGTCGCCTACCTGTGCCATCAGGCGTGGCACACACGTAGGTGGGCAGCATTTTGACAGGGGCAATGGCGTGAGTCTCCTTGCTCAGACCTCGCTCCATCTCTACGTTCATCCTCCTCTTGACCTCCAGCAGCTGCTCGCGGCTCAGCTTCAGAGACTCCAGGGTATTCTGGCGGGCTCGGTGTTGGTCAGCCAGCCGGTAGGCCACCGCCGTCACCATGGCTGCCCCCTTGCCACTGCCATCCTCGGAACGCAGGAAGCGGACGTCGCAGTCAGGCACCAGGCGCCGCACCGTCTTGTGAAGACGCTTGGCAAAGCTGCAGTCGCCGTGAGAGGGGAAGAGATGAGGGTCCACGGTGAGGGTCAAGGGAGCAAAGGGCTCGCTGCCTCAACCCCAAGGCCAGGAGGCACCCCCAGGAGCAGATGCTGCCCTGAACATCCTCTCCGCACCCTCCCAGGTTCTCAGTCAACACTGTTCAAGCTCGGAGAGTCATGTGTGATCACCCCAGCAGAGGGAAGGGAAGAGGGCTGCTGTAGGAAGCCCCTACCCTCGCACACAGTCACATTAAGACCTCCCCATCCCACAGCTGCGGCTCCTCCACCCAATACATCAGCCTCAGAATCGGGGGATTTGTACACCAGCAGTGCCCCTTTCATTAGACGCTGCCTGCGAAAAACCCAAAACAGAAAAAGGAGAAACGCTCTTCTGGACTTTGGTCTCTTTGGCCAATTTCTGCCGAAAATCCCAAAGGTGTCTGAACAGCTCAAGACCACAGGTGTGTTCAACAAGAACTCCTCGGGTGGTGGCTGAGCTGAGCCATGGTCTCCGGGGCCTCGCTGTCCCCGGTGTGGTCTGTGGGCAACAGCACCCCTGGGGGCCCAGCGCAGAGACAGGGTCTCGGCCTGGACCCCCTGAATCAGACTCTGACGCTTAACAAGATCGCCCAGTGATTCACGTGCACTTTCATGTTTCTGAAGCCCTGGACTAGAAGACCAGGGCGGAGACCTTGATTCGGTTAAAGGCGGCACACGGAACTGGCGCTCGAATCCAGTGAAAATGAAATAGTAAGTGGGCACGAGAGAGCGATTGGCCAGGTGCCAACTGAAATTTGAGTATTTTGGCACTTAGGACCCAAGGGACCAACCATGGAGGGAAGTGCAGGATCAGTTCAATGCCCAGGTCAGCCAGAGAGGCTGTGCCAGGGTGTCCTCTGTCAGAGGACACACCACCTGAACGGACCATCCACAAACATGAGAGTCAGGGAAACAAGCACAGAGAAACCCAAACTCCTCAACAAGAGGGTGGCAGACAGAGCCCTGTGGCCAGGAGAGCCCTGGCTAGAGCTCCAGTCATCAGGAGCCCTCGGAAATCACCTCCACCCCTGCCAAGGACGCCACCCTCCCGACCCCCACATGCCCAGCTGGGAGCTTATCCTACAAAGTCTCTCAAGCTACGGTCCATCTCCACCGCCCCAGGAGGCAAAACGGAGCTGGCTGTGGAGTCACTAGGGTCTCTTCCAGGCCTGTCAAGGGTCCTCGAGTGCTCTGGGGGCCGCGGCACTGGGGGGTCTGGCCACGCTGACTCACTGTGGGTGCTTCTTGTAGACAGAGCCGTCCACCCCAATGGTGGAGCGCAGCCGCTCCTCGCCCTTGTTCTCCTTGATGCGCCGCAGCACGGCCGCCAGGGTGGCTGCGCACAGGCTGGCTGAGCGCGTAGACACGATCTGGCAGATCCGGTGAGTGGCCACGCAGTCCTCCTGTGTCGGGTCTATGCCCAGCCGCACCAGCACCTCACAGGCCTTCCGGGTGCCGTCCCTCTCCCTGGGAAAGAAAAGGACAGTGTGTGGGCACATGTCCAACCCACTGGGGCCAGCGCCATCTCCCAGTGAGGACAGACACCCCTTCCATGGCTCTGCCCATTGACAGGAAGGTAGAACAAGGGGAAAGCACGACAGAGCCAACAGGAGCCTCCTCACCCAGACACACACACACAGAGCTCAGGTGCTTCTTTTTCCCAATGGGAAAAGCAGTATTTTTTATGCACATACTAAGTAAGGACAAGACACTGTTCTTATGGCTTTACACACCAAGTTGTGTGTGTGTCTGTGTGTGTGAGAGAGAGAATGAGCTATGCTTGCTTATCTGGGGGTAGAGGGAACAGTGTCCCTGCCAGCAAACACCCAGCTGCGGAGCCCACCCCATTCTCTCTCTAGGAAGCAGCCAGCTCACTGCCTTTCATGACAGAGCGGGCACTGCTTTAACCAAAGCTAGAGGCTGTGCCAGTGTGCTGCCATGAACTTCACAGTCTTCTCAGGGAGGCTAAGCACCTCACAAGTACACACTCTTCCATCCCCTCGGGGTTTAACAAGCAGGCACAATTCCCTCAAGAGTTTCCTCTCGAGGTCACTGGAATGGTTTCACTGCTCCCTTTAGCACCCAATTCCCCTCTTCTCCACCATCTGGTCCCTGAAACAACAGGGCCTCCTCAAGGGACAAGTGGAACGCTCAAGAACGGGAAACTGGGCCCAACTCTTTGGATATTGTTAACTGAAAACCAAGATTCAGGCCACCCTCACCCCCATCCATGCCGCTCTGTGAAATGCAGGCCTCAGCTATACCTACTGGAACTAAATGGGTAAATCTTAGGGCCATCCGAAGACCTATTCTTCTGTTAGGGAAGCAGGGGTCAGGACAGAGCCCTTTTGGAGAATCACCAACTGAGAAAGAAATATCAGAGCTTCGGGAGAAGGGAAAGAAAGTAGATGCATGAGTCCGCAAGGGGTCTCATGGAGCCTCCAGCATTAAGCCAAGCCCCACCCCCACCCATGCAGCACCAGGAGCCACTTGGGTAGCGGACAAGGGTGGAGACTATCTGAAAAGTTCAAGTCAAGACAAAGGCCTGCCATGGCCCACGTTGCACAAGACCCTCTTGCTGTCCGAAAGGGTCAAGGGCCGGTTCCCGTTCCTCATTCCCCAACGGCCTGTCCACCCTTCCAGAGACCCGGTGAACAGAGAGGGACTTGGAAGCTTACCCTTCAATATCTGAAACGTCTTTGGTCTCAAACTGGCCAGTGGCAAGGAGCCCTGGGCTGAGCTTCCCCCCGAAAAGCAGCTCTTCCTTGGCCATCTTCACCAGGATAAGCCTCACCAGTTCTCCCATGTACATCCCACTGATCATCTTCTCGAATCTGCAGGGATACAGACCAGACAATAAAGAACAGTCCTGGCTGTCAGTGAACTCACAACTTCCCCGCAGAGGTGGAGGCAACATGCGCGCAAAGCAAGATGGTGCACAACACAGTGTTAATTTGTGTGGCATTGCTGGGAATAAGTTGTGCAGAGAGGTGACAGCTCAGGGGAGGCTGCAGGGTCTGGGGTGTCTGCTCCATCTCTGCAGGCAGGGTGGGCCTTCAACTATGGAGGGAAAGGGCATGCGGAACATTGTGGAACAGCCTGAATTTTAGGGAAAGTTACATGTAGGATAGTGACTTTTAAATTTTTTTTCTCTAGCAAGGAAATACTTTTTTAAAATAAAACCTTATGAGGAGCAGCAATGTCCACAATAGCCAAACTATGGAAAGAGCCAAGATGTCCATCGACAGATGAATGGATAAAGAAGATGTGGTATATATACACAATGGAATATTATGCAGCCATCAAAAGGAATGAGATCTTGCCATTTGCAACGACGTGGATGGAACTGGAGGGGGTTATGCTGAGTGAAATAAGTTAGTCAGAGAAAGACATGTATCATATGACCTCACTGATATGAGGAATTCTTAATCTCAGGAAACAAACTGAGGGCTGCTGGAGTGGTGGGGGGTGGGAGGGATGGGGTGGCTGGGTGATAGACATCGGGCAGGGTATGTGCTATGGTGAGCACTGTGAATTGTACAAGACTGAGGAATCACGGATCTGTACTTCTGAAACAAATAATGCAATATATGTTAAGAAAAAAAAGAAGAAGAAGAAGAGAGCAGGAGGGGAAGAATGAAGGGGAGTAAGTCGGAGGGGGAGACGAACCATTAGAGACGATGGACTCTGAAAAACAAACTGAGGGTTCTAGAGGGGAGGGGGGTGGGGGGATGGGTTAGCCTGGTGATGGGTATTAAAGAGGGCACATTCTGTGTGGAGCACTGGGTGTTATGCACAAACAATGAATCATGGAACACTGCATCAAAAACTAATGATGTAATGTATGGTGGTTAACAATAAAAAAATTATTAAAAAAAAAAAACCTTATGAGGAGCCTCAATATTTATATACAAGAGAAGAAGGCCAATCTGATCCAATTAGCGGCACACGCCCAGCAACATCTCACACTGCCCTCCCCTTGCAAGGCATTTGTGGATTTCTAGGAAACAGGGTGAAAAGAACCCCGGGGCTGGGGGTGGGGTGATGGGCAGGATTAGAAGGGCAGGTTGGGACAGATGGGAAGAAGCTCTAAATGTCAGATGGTCGTGGGAATCTGGGAGTGCGACACATTGGAAGTTTCTGAGCAGACAGGTGACCAGATAAAGGCATGTTCTAGAAAGGCAGAGGGCTGCCCCCAAGCTGAGAGCAATCAGCTGATTTATTTTTTCAACACTAGGTGATGCTGTTTTCTTTGGAAGCCAGTCTTTCTGGCTCAAACGGTGTGATAGGAGAAACCGAAGCTTCACCATTGTTTGCAGTTCTTTGTAGCAAGAAGGCCCTTTCTTGGTATCTAAGCATCTGGGGCCTAGAGAGGAGGCCCCCCAGGGCCAGCGGACACTACCTAGGCTGGGCTTCAGCGAAGAAACCCAGAGCGGCGGGGGTATTTACGGGATTATGACATCAGCTGGTACAATCTACAAGACAGGAAAGCCAGGCCCTCAGGAAGTGACTCGCTCGAGACCTAGGGCCAGGTATGGCAGAACTGGAGCTCAGTGCAGAGCTGGCAAAACTGCTTGAACAGAGGGTGCATGTAAATTATTCATGCACTAGCACAGGCACACTCTGTGGGAGGCTGCCTGGCTTCATCTGTAAGCAACTCATGTCGGCCTCTCTACCTTCTCCAAAATAGCTAGTTCGACGGCAGAGAGTGGACAGGTCCAGTGGGGCTCTGAAGTGTGGGTGACTTATAAAAGCTTTTATTCCAGTTTTTTTTTTTAATTCAAACTTTGTTTCAGTCAACATTTAGAAAAATATTTAGAAATACATCAAGAGTGGGAAGAAGTTCCTCCTGGGGCCCAATAATGACTTCTGGGCTACCATGGCTGACACTTTGTAGTCGATGTCCTCCCAGCCTTTGATTTGTCTCAGGCTGAGCCAGTGGTGTGTTGCCAAGGCCGGGCTGGCAATTCTGTCTTCAGACACTTTGAAGGGCATACAGCTCCTCTGAATGGCTTGGGTGTGCCTCATTCTTGGAGGCAGACATTGAGTGAGTGACTTTTCAGTCCATAAATTCTCACCAGCCATGGCAGACACAGCCAGTGCATTCCTATGAAAGTTACAAGTAAGTGGACTCATGCTTCAATATGTGGGAGAAGCCAGTGACTTAAATAACCATGCCTTGAGGAAGCAAGGACTCTCCCTGTACAGAAAAAGACAGCCCATTGCTAAGCTGGCTTACAGAGTCAGGTTTTCCTCTCTGAGCAGAGAGCTATGCCAGAAGCTTTCCTGCAACAGTCATAGCAACAAGAAGACCAAAGGGGGCCTGAATTGCTCAAAACATTTTGTAATTGCCTTCAGAGCTTAGAGCAATCCCTGTTTCAATATCTTTAATAGGGACATTGGGTCAATGTTGGTGTAATAATGAGAGCAAAATAATGTTTTGTAACCGCCAAAGTACCTAAAAACCAAGTTTAGCCAGGCTGGAGAATATAACATTCAGGGTGCAAAACGTTGGAGGCCCTCGTGGTCCTGGGCCACAGGTCCAGGGAAGTGGCCAAGGAGGCTCCTAAGCCAGCTTTTCCAGAGGCCCCGGGTCTGCCTACAGCCACCTCCAGCTCAGCTCACAGGCAGTTCTACTAGGGGTCGGAGTCGGGGCCCCAGGCAGTGTGCAGGAGGCAAGTGTCATAAGCCTCATCCCCTGAGTAGTGGCAGGGGTGGGAGCTACGAAGACAGCTTTCAGGGACCCTAAGCTTGGCCATGTCAAGATGACTCTTCTTTTGTGTCTCACAAACTGTTTCTATAGACAGCTTACACATTGAAGGTGGAAGAAAGAGCAGGGCCAACACTCAGGAAATGACATTCTAAAATGATGGCTCTGAAGGACAAAGCCAAATTACCTATAATCTGGTTTGTCCGCTTGTTTATTATTCATTTTCAGAGCCCTCTTAGCAATTTAAAGTCATGGTGCATGTGATGAGCACACCACTCCCATAACCAGGGGGTGCCCTGGCAACCTTTCGGGGATGTAACACTATAACGCAAAAGTGAGAACCACCCCCCAGCTCTGGTCAACCCCCAGCTCAGCTCCTGAGTCCACCCCCACGAGCCCACCGCAACACAGGAGTTGCTGCTCACAGTTGTCTCCCGGGGTTCAGGGAGCCCATGTCGATTTCCTGATCAAACTCAGTGCGGAAGTCATCGAGTGTGCCATCGTCCCCGAAGGCCCCCCACTCCATGTTGATACACATCCGCCCCTCGTCGCCCTCCACCATGTCAATGTGGCGCATCTCTTCCATGTAGCAGGCATTGCTGCCCGTGCCTGGCCAAAACAAGGGACTGCTCAACACCCACCTGCACCAACCAGCCTCTCCCCAGCCCCCATCTCCCTCTTACTCCAGCATCCTGAGACCAGCTAGAGAGGCTGGGATTGCTCAGTGCAAGCTCCTGGAGTATCCCAACATGATCCAATCCACAACCACCCCCAACCCGTAAGTTCTGGCTCAGCCCTCCAAAGTGACTGTACCATCATCTTCTAATATAAAGTACAAAGAATTATTCGGGCCATGGAGCCCTCCTCCCTTTCCAGCCCACACCCCCCCATCCATTAGCCAGCACCAGCCCCCCACACCCAGTGTTCACTCACCTACAATGAGACCAATCTCGCAATTCTGGTCATCATAACCACAAGTCATCATGGTCCCAACTGTGTCGTTCACCACAGCGACGATATCAATATCAAAGTCCTGCAGGGATAAAAATGGGGCTCTGATCTTCACCATCACACAAAGGTTATGATTGTGAAGACGGAGAGAAAGAGCAGCAAGACACACAGCTCAGGTACATTAGGGCTGCCCCCTTGCTAACCCTACTTGGAGCCAAAGGTTAGAGCTAGGAATTGGGTCCAGATCCAGTCTGACAGCAGTGACGCACTCCCCACCCTGCCTGTCCTCTCCATGGAGGCCACCAACCCTGCGATCTAATTTATAGACATCACTGCATTCACAAGAGCCCATCTTGTCATCGCTGTCCCCTTCTGCTTCTCTTTCTTCTTTTCTTTTTCTCTCCCTCCTTCCCTGTAACTCCTATGACCAGACCTTTATCTTGTACTCTCTCTACCCCATTCCATCCTGATGACAACATCATCCCAACCTTCTTACTTGAAAATGATAATCAAGTCTTCTTCAGGTTAGAGACTGAAGGGTTTTTCTTGTACCAAGGCTAAGATTATTTATCCATCACGCTCATCTGAAGACCCCAAAGGCATCTGGTTATTATCCATCATCCTCATCTGAAGACCCAAGAGGCACCTGCTTATTATGTAAGATTATCAGTGTGGCAAACATTTCACAGTAAATGGATGCCAAGTCAGTATGAGGCATGCCTTAAACTTAGCTGTATGTCAACTATATCTCAATAAAACTAGAAAAAAATTTATTATTATTGGGTACACCTAGCAGGGAAGGAAAAGAAAATCTCTCCTTAAGAACTACAAAAAGGTTCTCATGCTGATTTGAAGACAGACTGGGAAAGATTTCAGAGTAGACCCAAAAGAATGTGAAGAGCCTCCAGACCCCACCTCCCTTCTCCCCATCCCTGCCTCCCCTACTCACCCCTCTCCTCTGGATGGCCTTCCGGATCAGAGTAACCACGTCTTTCCCTTCCACACCACTGGACTTGAACCCCTTGGTCCAGGAGACCAGGAAACTCTGAAAAAAGGACCAAGGAATGAACACTGATTCCTCACAAAACCCAGACGACACTACTCAAACAACCATTAGTGGAGACCTCCTGCCACGGAGCTAAGCTAAACTACAACCGTGCTTAAATATTCATACTGCTTCCTAATTAGCCTAGGAAAGAGAAATTGTGACCCATTCGAAGCCCCAGAAAGAAGATTAAATGAATGATTCCTTCATGATCTACTGCCCCCAAGAAGTGGAAAGAACAGGCTTTAGAAATGGCAAAATAAGAGACTCTCATCATTAACTCCCCAGACCTCTTTCTTCCAAGGAGCTTTATCATGACAAAGCTACATCAAAGGAGTTCCTAATTTCCCCTTCCTGGTTCCCTACAAAGGATGAGGATAATGTACAACATATGGGGGGTTGCATATTGTCCTTTGAGGGATGAGTGGTAAAGACCCTCCCCCCACTTCTGATACTTCTTCACCATCCCCCCACACCTACACACACCCACCCACCCACAAAGACAGAACTCTCAATACTCAAGCCTCATTCATATAACCATCAGAGCTGCCTCTAAAACCACAGAAGCAGCTGGCTCATCCCAGACCTCCCAGCCCTGAGAATGAACAACAAGAGTGTCTAAAGAACTCATCTTACCTCATCTAGTTTTGTTTGGACGCAGGGGAATGAGAAAGTAAAACCCAAGGGTAGCTTCTTGTCTTTGATTTGTAGCTTATCCATGAAGTTAGCCAGGCATTCTGCAATGTGGTCAAACAGCTAAGAGCACACAACACAAGAAGATGAATGAGGAGGGAGAATAGCATGGAAATTAAGAACTTACCTAGACTTTAAGCTCAGAAAGGAACTAGCTGAACATGTACAAGATGTGCATCCCCTCTGAAGTCTTAATTTGCTCATCTATAAAATGCGGGTGAAAACTATACCTGCCCTCAGAGTTACCAAAAGGATTAAGTGAGTCAATACATAGAAGGGCTTAACACTAACTAGTTAGTGCTTATTAAATACTGTCTTCCACTCAAACCACTTATCCAAACCACTGTCAAAACCCTGTGAGAGGCAGGGGAAATCATAGGTAAAGCTGATCAGAAAGTCATCACATACACTGGGAACAGAACATCCCTTGGTGGCTCTGTCAGAACTCCCCCCTGACATGCGTGCACAGCTGACTGTCTTGCCAGGGAGGGCAGCCCATCTCACTGCCAAGAAGTATTCTAGCATCCCTGTCTCTTGTGATTAGGGAGGGAATGGGACATTCTCTGTTAGCATTCTATGAATGAACTTAACAAAAATAAGTCTTATATTTTTCTTCCATTCTGGAAAAGTCATTTCCCAGGAACATTTCAAAGAAGTTATCTTTGTTTTCTAACTTCAAAATGAAAACACCAAGTGAATCCATGAAGAGCACTGAAGAATAAATAGGGTTTTGTGGATGGGCAGCCTTACAACTGTGACCATGCCAAGCAGGACCCACAGCTCCTAAGAAAAAGCTGTATTTACAACTATCCAGGCTTTCAATCAGTCCCAAGGCCCACAGGCCCATGGCTTCCTTCTTTCCCATTCAGCATTCCCAAAGAGAGGCAGTGACCCCCTCCAGATGCTTACAGGCTGAGGCCAGGGGCATTCTGGTACAAAAAGTAAGCAGAGTCCAAAGAGACCCAGTAGATGCCAAGAGCCAGGTTGACCAGATGGCAAAATCTAAAAGCCAAGGGGGGTGGATGAGAATATACCTTTTCCTCTCTGGACAGAAGCAAGGAAGATTCTACTAAACCAGGGGTTCCCAGGGGTTGCTGGTCCTGGACCAGCAACATCACCACCATCATGTTATAAATGTAAATTCTAGGGTCCAAACCCAAACCTGCTGAATCAGAAACTGTAGGGGTGGGGCCCTCCAGGTGATCCTGAAGCAGTGCTTTGAGAACCACTGCACTAACAAAAAGTATTTGCATTTACAAAGGAACTGGGAGGTTGGGGGTGGCAGAGTAGATTGAGAGGCCCACTGGCTCCCCAGATGTCTGAGGTATGCTTCCTAGGAGCAATCCAGGAAGACAAGGCCACCCCCATCTAGAAGGGGGCCAGCTCTAACAACTTCCTGCATTGATCCTGTCCCTGTCTGGTCACATGCAAAATTAACCTCAGCTGATGCTGAAACCTTCAATCTCCAAACCAAAACACTCTCAAGAGCAAAGGCTAGGCAACGACAAGGCTCTGTTGCAAAAAGGATCACCAATACATAAGTGCCAACTACCCTGAGAAGAAGCCGAGTATTTTAATATGTACATAAGGTTTCTAGATAGATACTCAACAAGTTCTGTTCTTCGGTTGGGAAGCTGACCAGAGACAAAATTTACAGTATGACCAAATTCCCAGCACCTTCTTCCTGGTAGTCTAGTCAAAATGATATTCACTAAAAATAGTCTTTATCCAAACAAAGGAAGTTGCAGAAGCTGTGTAAAGAGAGAAGGCCAAATCATCAGAGATGAAGGGAGGGGGAGCTTAGGAAAAGGGAAAAGCAAAATGGTTTCCCTCATCCAGCCCCGATCCACTGCTCCCTTTCCAATTGTGCTACCAACAAGAAGAGGCAGTGAAGGGGTACTAACTTATACAGCAGCTACTGGCCATCTGTGGTTATCTTAATCACTTAGAATCTTAAAAAATGTAATAGTCACTTCCTCAATCACACTAGCCATATTTCAAGTGTTCAATGCCACCAGTAGCTAGCTAGTAGCTAACATATTTGCAAGGGGCAGATACATTGCGAAAAGTTCTACTGGACAGTGCTCAGTTAGAAGAACCTACGCCTCTTTAACACCAGGGAAGAGGTGACCATCTGCTCCCTTAATTGGAAGACTATCTCCTCTTCTATTAGCTGATGATCTAAGGATAAGATACTGGGAGAAAGAGCTAACACCTTCCTGCCATAAAAAGGCTCAAAGGGCGCCATTTCATGAGGTTAGAAAAGGATTCCTTTTCCTTATTGGTCTGAGACTGCTCACTCCCCTTCCCACAAGATACACTTTAAACATCTAAAGTGGCTGCTATTACAATTTGTAATTCACTGCTCTCAAGTGGAAGTTCGTGTGCTAGAAGACAGATTTTATCCAGGGATCCGTACTGCCAGAGTTCACAGATCTTCAGAAATCTTTGCAAGTTCAGGGCTTGGTGATTGGGTCTTGATCTTAACTAAATTTTAAGTTTAAAATCCATTTTTTTCCTCCAATTAAAAGATTGACACCTATGATCCAAAAGAAAAGGAAAATATAGGGAAAAAGTAATTCCACCACTAAAATAGCACTATAGGGACACCTGGGTGGCTCAGTCGGTTGAGCATCTGCCTTCAGCTCAGGTCAGGATCTCCGGGTCCTGGGATCGAGCCCTGCGTCAGGCTCCCTGCTCAGCACAGAGTCTGCTTCTCCCTCTCCCTCTGCCCCTCCACCCCACTCATGCTCGCTCTCTCTCTCTCAATAAATAAATAAAATATTTTTTAAAAAATCTTTAAAAGGGCTACTGTGAATTTTCTTCCAGTCTTTTGACCAATTGTTTTCAATTGTCCAGTCTCCCTGGACACCCGAGAGCAGAGAATCATGCTGGACCAGTGGCTGTCACCCACCAACCGGCAAGATACTTCTGGAGCGGTGGCAAGAAGAGTCCCCTCTGTAGGAGGGCTCTCCTGGGGGAACTCTTGAGAGAGGGAGAGGCCCCAAAGGGCCTGAGCCACAGGACTTCATGTGTGCAGGAGCACCAGTGCCTTCAGGGAGGGCCTACTACTCTGGAAGCAGGGGCAGGGAGTTGGGATCCAGGACCACCATGTCGCCTAATTCCAGGACGTAACACTCACATGGACCGCATCACACAGCCTACCTAGTGGATGGAGACCCCGAGAACTGTGCAAACACATCAATCTGGCTTTGTGTTGTGACTCTGGCCCTTCCCACCCCTATGATCTAAGGCCAAGTCACTCAGTCTTTAAAAACCCAATTTGACATCTATAAAGTGAGATAACAGAGGCACTCAGCCTCATAGGGCCAGTGTGACGATAAAAAGAAATGCAGGCAAAAAGCCTTTGCTCAGCCTGTCACACAACAGGTCATCGTGTGTCAGCACCTCCTGAGGGTTACTCATCCACTTCAACACGTTGTTACTTTCTGTGTGTCCTGGTGGTCCAGCTGTGCGGTAAGCCCAGGAGGGGACAGGCCGGGAATCTTTGACTCCCAGCAAGGGTCACTGCCCCACGCACAGGAGAAGCTCAATACATGTTTGGAGATTACCACAGTGAAATTCCCTCCTTTCTCCTTTTTTCCTGGCTATTACTGAGAGGATTCTTACTTGGATTTCATATTTCTTCTCTATCCACTCCTTTTATTGTCTAGATGCTCTAGAAGCCACAGAGATATGGGGATGACTAAGCATGATTTGGGGCAATGTGGAAGCACACGGTGCCCACTGCAGTACCAGCTGGGACAGACACCCCAAAGCTGGATTTTGATGTTTTCTCAGTAGGCTTCCACCCCTGTGTGCAATGCCTCTTCTGTTTTAGATAGGCAAGAAGAGAAAGAGCAAATAACCACAAAGCTGAAGGGCCAAGTTCCATCTTCCTATGATGCTGTGGTAACAAGTGTGAGACAGAGGGCTGCAGAATGACCACAGTAGCAGGCGGGAATATCAGACCACAATCGTGTTTCTGACCTGCCATTTGATGGCACCACTAACCACAGGTGTCCAGCAGGGTGGGTCCGACCTCCCGACAGCAGGCTTTCATCACTAGTCAGCCCATGCAAGCAGACCTCCAAAGACATGGCAAACCAAAACACCACCCGCTGCGGCCCATCCAGACCCTGGGGTCTCACACACATGGTCCCGGCTCTCTGGTCCGTGTGCACTTCTCCTAATGGAGATGCTTCACTCAACCTCCAGGCATAGAAAGGGATCACCAGGCAGGGAGAAGACAGAAAATCTGAGCCTCAGTCAGGGTCTCCTTCCTCCAGACCAGAGAAAGGGCAGCATCTGCGCCTGTGGGGCCCAGAGCCCCAGTGGCCACTCCGAGGAGGGTCCTACCTGGGTGCCGCTGCCTCTCATGAGGTCCTCGGGGATGGCATAGATCTGGTTCTCCATCTCGACCTTCTGGAGCCCATTGTCTGTTACTCTTACCCAAAGCACACGGAAGTTTGTCCCTCCGAGGTCCAGAGCCAGGAACTCTCCGTGTTCTGCAGAGACAAGGGACTGCTATGAGTTCCCGAAAGATAAGATCCTCCCAGAGGCCAAGCCTTAAAATCCATGAGTCCCTCCATAAACACCAGTCACCTCCCAGTGATGGGGTGGCCAGTGGTTCTTACTTTTTACCACAGACATTTATGTATGGTCTGATTCTGTTTCGTCATGCTAAGCACTTTTATATTACTTTTAAGAATTCACACAAACAATGATACAGTCCTACACCCAATTATGAGGTGCCCACCCCCTCACAAGAGCTCAGTTATTTCATGGGCTTTCAGCCAAGTCCCCATAAGCTCAAGGGGCCCTTCAGGTCCTATCCCAGGAGTCCACACCTCAGTTTTGTTCTTCATGCCCCCAGGACACCCAGTGCACCGCTATAGGCCTATGGGGCCCTGGGCTTTCAGTCAAATAGTGGTCCCCATACAGAATTTACATTTTAATGTCTGTGTATAATGATGGCAATGCCTTGTGGCAGGATAAGAGGGTCATGTGATGAAGAGAATGGGGTCCAAATAGCTATAAATTAAGAGGCCTAGCAAATCAGCCAATCAGGTGCCCCCCAAAAAGATCCCAGGCTTATTAGAATGTGAGAGAATGCTGACCCAAAGGTATCCACTCAGCTGTTCCACTCAGACAGGCCCCAGAGCTGGGGGGGGGGGGGGGGGGCAGGGAGAGTCCACAAACACAAGTGGGTGAAGATCTTCAGGTGTCACCAGGAAGGCACTATCCCTTCTCCCCAGGAAACAAGCAGTGTAGACAAGAAACATCCAGCTTCTAGACAATAAGACAGCTGGCTGCAGGGACATGCTCCATTGTATGGCACGGAATAGAAGTGCTGAAGAGGCGCAGAGGCCCGGCCAGGGCTGGGGGCTGGCGGGGCTGGCGGGGCTGGCGGGGCTCGGGGAGGTGGGCTCACCCTCTCAGCAGCCTTCCCCTACGAGCAAAGCTCCACCAGTTTTCCACGGCCCTGCCACACAACATCTCGGAAGGATACGGTGTTCTTTCCTAGGGAATTCTCTTATTGGCATGTTCGTCAGTGCTCAGCCCGTTTCCCACTGGGTGACTGGCCACTGAAGCTAAGGCAGCACGGACCAGCGGGGCAGGGAAACGCTCTGACCGAAATGAGCCAACAAGGGTCCATTCTGCGCCCAGGCCCTCTGAGCAGCAGTAACTGTTTGGCCCTGAGAAAAGCTACTTCCGCCCAGCTCCCTGAGGGCACTACCCACAGCCTCTACAGCCCGAAGGGGCAACTTGGGGGACAGGGGTGTCATCCAGCCAAGATTCTGTGGGACTTGCCTCCACACACCCGTGGTCTGGTAGTGGCGACATGCACAGCCTGGCTCTGGAGCCCACATTACCTTTGTCTGGTATCTGGCCACGTTTTGGCTGTGCCAAGTTCCTGAGGCTCGGCCGCCTCACCTCTGAAATGGGAACGTCATTAACTTCAGGGGGTTGTTGTGAGGCAAAAAACTAGATAATGTGCCTCAACTACCCAACACGGTGCCAAGAACTTAGGACACACTCTGTAAGTACTAGAAACAATCCATCCAGGCATCCACTCACGGCCCAGTCCTCACACTGGAGACCTCTGGGCTTCACAGTTAGGGCCGCCTCTCAGACTGAAAAGCAAAATCACCCTCACCAGCGGGGACTGAAGAAACCTGTCCAAGAAAAGTCACTGGCATCTGTCCCAGTGACTTCAGTGTTCCTCTTCAGGGGCGCTAATTCCCTGTCCCCTCCCTGACATCTGGAGAGCCTCCCAACCCCACTAGCTACAGGTGCTCGATAGTTGGAGTAACCTCAACCCCACCAGGGGTGACTCGGCCCTTCTCGTGGCCATGGGCAACTTTTCCAGGCACTCCAGTTCTGAGCCTCTCCTGGTAGTGGGAACCCAGCCAGACTGCAGGAAAAGCTATGTGGTGGTTGTCATGGGGGATGAAAAGGAAAATCAAAGACGAACTGCCTGCCTCAGCACTCTGCAGCCTAGGACACACGCAATGCGCTGAATCGGCGACCACAGGGGTCATGATTCAAGGCCAGCCCGACCTCCGTTCCCAGGAAGGAATGTCATCCCTTGCTTTCTTTTCAGACTCCACCAGAACAGACATTTCTCTCGGCATCGCTCCTCCCCAGCACCCCCATCTGCAAACACACAGGATCACAATTACCACAGCCTAGGACTGGATGCTTTCCAGGGTCTAGTATCTCTGGGGCAGGCCCAGCACCATGACTCCTAGAGCTAAATCCTAAGGTGACCCCCCTTGGGACAGTGGACAGACCCTTCTCCTGGTGCCCAGCTCCACACCGTGCATGAGAGGCCCCTGTAGAGCAGGGGTGAAGAGGTGGGCCTTTAGCAATGGGCAAACAGGCTTTGATTTGATTTCCAGCTCAGCTGCTTCACTCCCTGTGTGGCCTCTAAGCATGTCACCTCCCCTGTAGAACAGGGCCCATAATACTGACTTCTCCCAGGGGTCATGAGGCTGACACGAAATACAGAACATATTATGTGTGAATATGTAGGCTCACAGTAAGCCGTCAATAAACGGCTATTGTCCACTCTTTCCCCTTTGGTTGATCATGTAGTTCTTCTCAGCCCCTCCAATCCCCACCTACATACACCTACTCATTGTGCAAGTCCCACCTCTACTGTGAACCTTCCGGGACATTCCAGAAGCCCAGGGCAGACAGCGTGGGAGTGTGTGATGGGGCGTGAAGGAGCATCACATCTATGGGTCTGGGACTATCAAACCGGACGGGTGGGAGCAAGGCTCTGGGGCAGGAAAACGTGCTTACAGTAGGTTTCTTAAGAAAGTGCACAGCCATGTGACAGAGGACCCAGTAAGGTCCAGAGAGATCATTCTGCTGAATTATGGCTGCTATCTGAGGCAACATTTTAAGAAAACACCTCCTATTGCATTTGCTCATTGATGGTTCATTTGTTAAACAAAATGTTTGAGTACCAACCAATTTATAATATGAAACCGTCAGATCTGAGGTTAAGGTCTCTTTCATTGTTGAGCATGCTGTTATGTCTGGAACACTAACTTTCTAAAAGTAGTAAAATATAAACATCTGATTTCTTAAAAAGCTCAAACAATACAAAAGTGGGAAAAATTAAAAGCAAATCTCTCTTTTCTTCTCCACACACCAAAAGTAATCATTACTAATGTTTCTTGGGTGTCCTTAGGCACATTTATTTTATAAAGATAGCAGAGGCTGTTAACAGACACATTCAGAGAAAGGAGTTGGAATTGCTGGTTCTTAGGATGTATGCTTTTAATTTGGAAGACATTGCCTACAAGTTCATGCCTGAAAGTTCTCAACGATTTCCCCACAAACCAACAGCTGAGTTTTGTTCTCACCAAGGTCTCATGTTATGTGGCAATTAATCTTTGCCAACCCCCTTGCTCAAAGTGGTATCTCATTTTTAAACTGGGTTTCCTTCTATTGTGTAAGGTTACACATTTTGAATTGCTGACTGGCCTCTTGAATTCCTTGTTCTGTGAACTTCCTATTCACATCTTTTGCCTTTTTAAATAATACATTCAGGGACACCTGGGTGGCTCAGTCGGTTAAGCGACTGCCTTTAGCTCAGGAGGGAGCCTGCTTCTCCCTCTGCCTCTGCCGCTCCCCCTGCTTGTGCTCTCTCTGACAGATAAATAAAATCTTTTAAAAAACACACACACACATTCATTACTTTAATTACCTAAAAGAGCTCTTTGCATATTAAAGAAAATAGTCTTATTGGTTATATATTTACTATCATTTTTTCCAGTTGAATGTCTGTCTTTTTACTTTGTGGTATTTTTGCCATGCAGAAACATTTAATTTTTATGTTGTCAAAATATTTATGGTTTCTGGGTTTTATGTTGTATCTGTACAAATTCTAAAGATTACATGAGTTTGCCACCTTCCCTAACTCTCCCCAGTTCCTCCTGAATGTGGCCACCACCACTGCTAAAATGAAGGAAGCAAAGTTTCAAAGTGTATTGGAAAGACCAAATTCATCTATTTTCTTTTTTGTTGTTGTTGTTTAAGGCCCCATCCCCACCCCACCTCTCCCTTGGGGTAGGCACCCCACTAGGGGCACCCAGCTACTCACTGCACAGCCGCCATTTTGGGGTAAACTGGCCCAGATGGGCAGGCCCCTCCCTGCATAAAATTCAGATGTGGAGAATGCAGGCATCGATCCCGCTAGCTCTCACATGCTAAGCAAGTGCTCTACCATTTGAGCTAATTCCCCAGCTCCCATTTTCTAGATTTTTTAATGGGATTTTTGGAAAACGAAGCCCAAAACCCTGTCTTCATCTCTCTCGTCCCTTGGGACAGAGTTCCAACTTCATCACTGGCATCTGGATTACTGTGGTAATAAAACAATGGAAAGAGGCAGGTGTGGGGAGGGTTTAGTTTTTGAGGGCCCAACACATGGGTGTTTTTAATGGAAGAAAAACATTTGTTAAGTGATGGTCACTTTGTTTATAAGCATTATCTCATCAATCTTCAGCAACCCTATGGGGCATCATAATACCAATTTTCCAGATGAAAAAATCCAAGACTCAGGTCAAGTAATTGAAACCAAGATTCAAATTCAGGTCTGGTTCTCCAGCAAAGTTTTCTACTGTGATGAGCAAGGAGGCTCCTCATGGGAAAGTTGTAAATCCCCAAATAAGGAATTCTTCATTAACAACACCAAGAGCATAAAGCCCAGAGGTTACCAGCAGCCTCCAAGCTGGCCTGGGTGGAAGAGGAAGTGACACTGTGGTTTAGAAGTTCAGTCATTTGGTTTAAGGTCACACAGGGGTAAATGACTGCTGGGTTTGAACCAAGTCCATCTGACCCCAAAGCCCATGCCTATTCCACCGCACCACACCCATGTCTCTTGTTCCTGGAAGATGAGGAGGGTCTGGCACAGAATCTAGAACGAGGCAAATAAGCCATAAAGTGGTGAAAAAGAAAGCAAAGACGCCCTAATCTTTATCAGTAACTGCAG